GAGGTTAGAGAAAACTGCATAATGAGGAGCTTCATAACTTGTACTCTTCTCCAAGTACAAGGTGGTTCAAATATGACCGGGACTGTTTTTTTTTTTTAAACCAAAATTGCCAGACACTTACTTGCACATGTCAGTCTTCAACGTACTCCCCTCCGGAGTCAATACATTTTTTTTCCAATGTTCTGGAAGTATCCTGATGCCCTTTTCAAAAAAGTTTTGTGGTTGGTGGCGTATCCACTCCCGAACATTCTGGATGACGGCGTTGTTGTCCACAAACTGCATGCCTTGCAAGTCTGATTTGAGCCTTCCGAACAGGTAGAAATCTCTTGGTTCCTAATCGGGACTGTATGGCGGATGTGTCAGAAGGTTCCTTTTCAATTTCCAGAGGGTTTCCATTGTTGTTTTGGCCATATGGGTGTGTGCATTGTCTTAAAGGAAGGCTACCCGCTTTCCACCTCTCTTCCGCTTGGATCGGATCTTTTCCTTCACGTCTGTTGCCAGGAGGTCTGAGTAATAAGCTGCATTGACTGTTCTGGCATCTGTCAGAAAGTCTACATGGATAACCCCCTGCCAGTCCCAGAAGAACGTTGCCCTCACTTTTCCTGCCAAACCTCTCCTCCGCGCTCTCTTGAGTTTGGGAGAACTGGTATGCCTCCACTCATGTGATGACTGCTGGGACTCAGGAATGAAGTAGTGCACCCATGTTTCATCGGTGGTCACTATAGACTTAAAAAATGCATCACCTTCATCTTCAAACTGCTGTAGGAGATGACTGGCAGCTTGCATGCGCACCATTTTGTTCACATCCGTCAAAGTGCGTGGAACCCACCGTGCATTCTCCTTGCGATAATATAAGTGGTATTTCTCGATGTCTTCTACACTACCAACACTGATGGACAGCATTGCTCCAAGTTCCTTGATAGTGATGCGCCTATTCTCACGAAGAAGTGCGTCTGCACGATCAGTGTTTGGCTTGGTGACAGATGTTTGCGGCCGACGATCATGCGGTTCATTCTCCACGCACTCTCTGCCCTCTATGAAGCACTTACACCTCTCAAACACACGGGTCCATGAGAGACACTCTTCTGCATACTGTTGTTGGAGTCTGTGGTGAATTTCAGTGGACAGGACGTATTCTCCAACGAGGAATTTGATCACAATGCGTTGTTCCATGCTCCGCGGTACCTTCTCTTCACTCATCACTCTAGACAGACTTACAGACAGGACCGAACAGGTTCTAACCCAAACAGGAGGGAGGGTGGAGGTTGTGGCTTCACTCTCTCAAGGTCGCACAGCTGCTGCACAGTGAGGCTTATTTACAAAAAATGAGTCCCGGTCATATTTTAACCACCTAATATAATTAGAATGATCAAGTCAAGGAGGACGAGGTGGGCATGGCATGTAGCACGAATGGGGGAGACTAGGAATGTGTATAGGATATTGGTGGGAAAGCCAGAAGGAAAAAAACCACTGGGAAGACCAAGGCATGGGTGGGTGGACAATATTGAAATGGATCTTAGAGAGATAGGATGGGATGGTATTGATTCGATTGATCTGCCCCAGGATAGGGACCAATGGAGGACTTTTGTGAAAACGGTAATGAACCTTCGGGTTCCATAAAATGCTGGGAAATACTTGAGTAGCTGCAGAATTGGCGGCTCCTCCAGAAGGTCTCAGCTCCATGAGTAAGTAACTAAGGAAGTACGTAGAAGATTTTAGTTGGAAACCCTGAAGGGGAGAGATCACATTGGAGAACAAGATATGCATGGGAGAGTAATATTAAAATCAACCCTAAAGGTGTAGGACATGGAAGAGTGAATGAATTCGTTATTATGTCTGTTGCAGTTTACACTTTGTGGCCCAGAAGTTTGTTTCCTTGGTCAGTTGTGATGTCCCACTTAAATTTACTATTCCTGTAGTACCAAACTCTTACGCTGTGTCCCTTAATGAGCGCTGTATCAATGATTTTTGGAGAGACTATTGGATTGTATGTTTGGCCTTTTCTTATCAATTTGTATGTGTCGTAATTGGGCCATTAATGTTTCTTGTTCATGTCTGGTAAGAAGCTACATGGCCCTTTTGGGAGCCAAGGCTGCCACTTTAAGAAATGCTAGTTCACGCAGAACATGCAGAAACCCTTGCCACTATGCACTTAAGGTGACCTGTCAACTTACTTGCCAGTTACTTTTCAGGGGAAGGAGGAAATTGAATTAACTGACCCCTTCCTTCCTGTATGCTCATTTCTCTGTCATTTCGTTTTCACAAATCTATTTTGCCAGTTCTGTCCATGCTTCTCTATGGATTTAGTATTGGAGACTTTCTCATGTTCATTTATTATAATTTATAACAAAAATAATTACTTACATTCTGGGGCAGAATAAAAGAAAAATAATGTCATTCCATACACAGATTTTCTCAAATTTTGTGATATGCAGTCCTTCCATGATGTATATTTAGAGCAGGAACCTGAATTACCTTACTACCTCCATAGAGTCTGTCCCTACTACACCCGTAGTATCTTATAAAATGTTCTGTACAGTCACAAACAAATTCATGAAATGTGTCACTGTGCTTCAGTTACATATTCTGAGAGCTCTTAATTATGTCTTACTGATCAGCCAAAATGGTTTGTGGATACAACAGTATTTGAAACAATTCTTGAGAAATCAGTAACACCTCATAGAGCAGGTTGTTTTCTCTGAACGGATCATGACCCACAGTGTGAGAAACCATGGCTAAAATCATTCCAATTCAAATAATATTATTTCTGTTACATGAGTTGTCAGCAAGATAAAAAAATTATATATGTGCCTTTTTATGTATATTAAATAGTTTGGGCTAATTGAAAGTTTGTTGAATAAGTCTGTCCAACTTGTGACATAACCCACATCCACTAAGTGTGCTGATCTGGAATGTCTGCCAGAGTGCTATGCCATGGTTAAGTAACATTCTTTAAGTACAAAAAATATTAATGTCTGTTTAGTGTTTGAAATCTGTGTAGGAGACTTCAAATTCAAGTTTAAAAATTGTTTGCACTTCTACCATTTTATGTGATATGGCCATCATAAGATTACAAGGATGGGAAACCATATAATTGTGTTCTGTGGGTGTATACATATCAACTTTTTCATTTCATATACATACAGGGTGTCCCAAAAAATGTACTCACTCTTTGACTATCCATAGCTCACTGAATTTTTTGTATTTTTCTAGGTATAAGTAACTTGAAATAATGGCGGATGTATGACTAAGTTTTGAGGAAAGAAAATTTGTGTTGGAGTGTTATTGTAAGTACGAGAACATCACTGAAGTTCAAAGACAGTTTACAAGGGAATTTCGAAGAGATCCACCAATGATACGCACCATTGCTTGCATCAGAGATAAGTTTGAAGCAACTGGAACTGTTCAAGACGTCCATAAACAACGTTCCGGAAGACCACAGTCATCTACCAGTCCCGCAAGAGAAGAACAACTGCTGGAAACCCTCCTCCAATCCCCAAAGAAATCTGTGCAGTAAGCAGCTCATGAGACAGGAATCTCAAAATCGAGTGTCTATCAGATTTGGAAGCGAGTCCATTGGAAGAGTTACATTCCAACATTCCATGCAAGCAATGGTGCGTCACGTTGGTGGATTTCTTTGAAACTCCCTTGTAAACTGTCTTTGCAATTCAGTGATGTTCTCATACTTCCAGTAACACTTTAGCACAAGCTTTCTTTCCTCAAAGCGTAGTCGTACTTCCGCCATTATTTCAAGTTACTTATACCTTGGGACATTCTGTATATATATATATATATATATATATATGATGATGATGATGATGATGATGATGATGATGCAAGCCTGTATATAATATTTCCTCGTTTATGATTAATACTTCCGCAAGTAGACCATTGTTCATTGAGATTCACAATTACTCTCTCTCTTCCCCCCCCCCAGAAATTGAAGTCTTTGAATTTAAGTTTTCATCTTTTGGTTTTGACACTGTGTAGTCTTGTAGGTGAATACTGTGTCAGAGAAACCTGCTGTCTCACACCCTGGAGATGGAGAGTGCAGGTTTCCTTGAAACATAACTACCTACCAAATTACATTGTGTCACCCCAACAAAATGCAATATAAATTTTCACCACCATGGCAACCTAAATTTTCAGATTTCTTTCATTGTACTACAATTCTATCTTTATTATTTATAATATGACATTTTTATCATGATAGAAATCTTCAATAAAGAGCATTTAAACCTATTATCCTGGTATAGAAGAAGGTGTCAAAATGTTTGCCATCTTCAAATTAACAAGATTATAGAAGTATACATTGTTGGCCTAACAGGTGCATATGACTGAAATTATACTACTCTTCCCTTATAACAAACAAAAAGTAAGTTCACATGTACCTGTTTAATCTTATGATATGTACCAAATTGGCAAGAAGCCAAAGCCATGTAGCAGTACTGAATGAATAAAGAGTATTAAGTCTTTAATGTTTGCTGTTACTGCATATTCTAAATGAAAATTATGTATGTGTATATATATATATATATACACACACACACACACAGACACAAACTGTTCATCATATGCTTCATTCATATCATAATAGAGCACTACATGGAAAAGAGTGAAAAAGATTTGATTTTAATGCACTCTGAACTTAGTAAAGATGTATAGTTTGTTTGTTTGTTACCTCCCGCACCCTCTCAAAATGCTTGTAAGGTCCTTATGTTTACTTAGCTTGAAGACCATAAGACTTGGAGAAGGTGCATTAGACATAAAATATGTTTCATTTTTCTCTGCAACATTTGTTTTTGCCAGTAAATATTTGGTGTGATGTGTGCAGAAACACATATATGGCTTCATGTAAAGTTGTTATTAAACCTCTCCAATCTTAATGAAAATTAAAATTGGTTGACCATTATTTTGTAGAACATCAAATTTCATGAATATTTACCTAGTGATTCTAGAGTTCCATGTGTATAGATATATGGACTGGGTGAACTTAGTAGTTGCTCCACAGGGTTCTGAATGCTTGTGTAAAGGAAACAGAACATATTTGAATACAGGCACATTTCATTGCCTGTTAAAAGGTATTACTGTGCTAATGAATCCTGTTCAGTTCTGAGTAATGTATCTATTACTGAATTGTGGCCCTAGAAATTTGAAATATTTCTGCAGGAAACTAGCAACAGTTATTGTTCAGAGAGGTACGCTACAGAAAGGAGCTGTACTTGTAGCTGGACTTGCTTGGGCTAAAGTGCGTGCCATGTTCAATGAATGGGGACAACCCATCCAGCAAGCACCACCATCCACACCAGTTGAGGTCTTGGGCTGGAGGGAACTTCCTTCAGCAGGAAGTGAAATCATTGAAGTTGAGTCTGAGGTAAGATGAACTAAAGAAACTGTTATAACAATTGTCAGCGCAAATTGTCATTGTAATGTTATCATTCTGTATTCTTATATTTATTTTATATTTAAAATAACATAAATTGTAAATACTGTCCATTTTACTGCTAAACTGATGGTAATGTATTACAGCTGCTAGCTGTACTTTTGGACACTCATATGCGTATTCTCTTTCATTTCCACAATCTTAGACCTTGTTGAATACCTTATTTTTTCCCAGAAGTGTTTTATAATACTGTATCCATAATCTAATTCTGGTTGGAGGATTGGTGGTCAAAAATATTAAAGTTTAAAATATATGAGTAAAATTAGGATTGGATTCCATCAGGTACAACGGTGTTTCTTTTAACAATAAAATATAGCCTTTACATGTTTTGGCCAATGAGGTCCATCATTGGAAGGCAACCAACGCTTCAAAGGAAATGCTTCGCATGTATTATGTGCATGTGTTATCTTGGAAGGGTTAAAACACAAGTGTTTACAATGTTTTGTTAAACATAATAGCATTTGTCAGGGTATTACAATCTTTCTGTGAGTCTCAGTGATTGACTTGTTCCTTCACAGTAGGTCACCTGCAAATATAATAAATTGCTCAGTTCTGTATTTATTCTTATATTTATATCTACAAATGTGTGTTTAAATGTAATATAGGTAATTTTGATGCTATATTTGTTCTTATATTAGCTACTAACAATTAATGATTTGCCATACCTGTATTGTGTTGGACCTGTATGTGTGTGGGATGGGTTGTACTGTTGTGTGCAGTGTGTTTTGGTGAAATGTTGTCTCATGAAAATATGTGGTTACGAGTGTTTTTATGCACATGCATGTGATTTGTTCCGTGGAACTGTGTCCATATGTTGTATGGCAATGTCAAATAATATATTGCTATGTTTGTTTTCATCAGTTTTTTGCTCTTCTGTTAGTGTATTATTTTGTTTGTGTTGATAAATCTGGGAATTCTCTTTTATGTTCATCATATGGTCCTTTCTGTAGTAATCAGTTCCTGCCATATGTCTTATATTTTCCCATATTGATGTATATTTCTTAAAATATGCATGGCCAACCCTGACTTCTCTGTGTTTTATTCTGTTCTCCATATACTCCTTGTTTCTGACATTTAGGAAGTGTCCAATCTGACCTATGTAAGATTTGTGACAGTCTGCAGATGTTAATTTATATATGCCCATGCGGTCATATTTGTTGGTTGTAGGTGTTAATTATTATTATTATTATTATTATTTTAAAAGCATTGTTGCACTTGATTGAATTCAATCCCAGCTGAGAACAGTGTGTGTCATAAGAACTAAAGTTTGGTTTTACGTAAATGGAATAATAGTATTAGTTCTCTAAAAGTGATCTAATTTGATAACTTGTGTTTGTTTGCACACAGACTGACTTTCAAAATGTATATCCAGCTACAGTTTATACCAGAAATAATATTGATATCAATTGTCATTATTAAGAGAGCAGTCTTTTGGGATGTGGCGCCGTGTAGGTATTGTGTTAACTGATGTTTTGGAGGAAGATATTGCCTCCATCTTCAGGGTAGAAGAAAAAAGAAGAAAATCTGTACGCAAAATACCGGTGTGAGCAGGTGCAAATATACTAATGTCAAGAATAAACCCAGCTGTGTAAGAGCAGGAAGGGAAGGGAGAGGGGGGTCAACATGGGAAATAAGTAGAGAGGAGTGGGGAAGGGTCTGGGTAGGTGAGCCAGCAGGTAGCAGGCCAGAGCAGGTATCGAATATTGTGTCAGGAGAGAAATGCAAGGTTAATGGGAGGGCAGTAACCCTTAAGCTTGGGGCTTGCTATGTGAGTCGGGTATGGACTTGCGTGGCCTTGTGGATCTGTCATCATATCCTGTGAGGTTTCTTGAGGGAACAGATGAGAGGCTTCCATGACTTGCTGAGGCAAAACCCCACCTCTCTGTTCATATTGTTGGGATGGAGTTCAATCTCAATGGCCTCCCTAATGATGCAATCCATATACCGGGTCTTGGTGGCAAGGATGGAGGTATTCTGAAGCTGAATGCGGTGTCCCAAATCAGTGCTGTGTTCAGCCACAGCTGACTTGTCTGGATGTTCAAGACAGATGTGCCATTGATGGTCCTTCAGCCTCGTGTCCACAGAACGGTGCATCTGCCCAATATAGACCTTGCCATACTCGCATGGGATACTGTATACACCCGGTGTCCTCAGTCTTAGGCTATCTTTGACCGGCCAGAGGAAACTATGAAGGGCGTTTCGTACATAATGCCTCCTATTTTTTGTGTTAATATGTAACGTCTGAGCTGAATATTGGTGGTGTTATAGGAAAAGTTGAACCTTCCCGCCAGTGTACTGTTAGTTTGGTTGCCATGCGACAGATAGCGACAGCAGAGCAGTCTGCCAAATTGGTGTCTGACATAGAAGTGTGGACGAAACAGAGATGTGTTATTGAATTTCTCACTGCCAAACAAATTGCACCCATTGACATCCATCGATGCTTGCTAAAGGTGTACGGAGATGATACAGTGGATGTCAGCACAGTGAGGTGGTGAGTAGTGCGTTTCAGCAGTGGTGAAAGTGAAGTGCACGATAAGCTATGCCCTGGGCGTCCCTGCTCAGCTGCCACTCCTCACAATGAACAGCGCCTCAATCAGCTCATCTGTACAGATCAGCAGAGAACGACCAGGGAACTGTGTGTGTGGCTTAATATCGGCTATAATGCATTGGAAATGATGTTGGGGAAGCTGGATTATCGCAAAGTTTGTTCCAGGTGGGTCCCACGGATGCTTACACAGGACCACAAAACTCATCGAAAGAAAGTCTGTCAGTACCTATTGCATCAGTTTGAGGCTGAAGGTGACAAGTTTCTGGACAGCATCGTCACTGGAAATGAGAGGTGGTGTCACCACTACGAGCCGGAATCCAGAAGACAGTCCATGGGGTGGCAACATCCAGATTCCCCAAGAAAAGAGAAGTTCAAGACAGCCATCGGCAGGGAAAGTGATGTGCACGGTCTTCTGGGATAGGGGGGGTGTGATATTGTTGGATTTCCCGGAGCCTGGTGAGACTCTCAATTCTGAACGCTACAAGATGATGCTGACTAAGCTGAAAGCCCGCATTTCCCAAGCCAGGCCAGAGAAGCAGACAACCTTTCACTTGCAACATAACGCTAGACCCCATACCAGTTTGGCGACCACCTCGCACATTGCAAAGTTTGGCTGGACTGTCCTACCACATCCACCTTATAGCCCCGATTTAGCACCTTCAGACTTCCATATCTTTGGGCCTATGAAAGATGGACTACGTGGGCAACATTTTCCAGACAACGATGCTGTCATTGCAGCTGTCCGAAAGTGGCTAGCCTCTGCTGACGCAGACTTTTACGTACGTGGCATACAGGCTCTTGGTCATTGGTGGCAAAGGTGCATAAAAAATGATGATTATGTGGAGAAATAACTGTAAGTAGCTGAAATCTTGCTCTATTTAACTGCGTTATTATGCTTTCTGTATCTGTTGTAGTTTTCATTAAAAAAATAGTTGGCATTATATATGGAACGCTCCTCGTAGATAATTTCTTTGGAGGCAGGCCCACTGCTTTGATGTTGTGCCAGGACAGCACTCCCCTCTCCTCTCTTCTGATTTCCCATGTCCCCCCCCTTCCTTTCCTTTCCTGCTGTATGCAGCTGGGTTTATTCTCGACATTAGTCTATTTGCACTTGCTCGCACTGGTTCTTCACTTGCGGATTTTCTTCTTTTTTCCTTCTACCCTGAAGATGAAGGCAGTACGTTCCTCCAAAACGTCGGTTAACACAATACTTACACAGTGCCACATCTCAGAAGACTGCTCTCTTCATAGGCACCGCCGTGAAAACCTCAAATCTTACATTATCATTATTGTCATAATAAATGAAAAGAGAAGTCATCCCTCTCAATCTTCAGGTAACCATCACAAAGAGAACTGCATCATCACTAAATCAAGAGACAGTTTCTAATGAAGAAGTTTAGAAAGTTTAAAAATGAATTACCAACATTTAGTTATGATCCATGTAATACTTACATATAGAGACCATCACATTTGCTATTAATTACTGAATGACAGCCTTTATTGTCTGAGTATTTTAGTGCATTATCTGATATTTAAATTGAAATAATGTGACAATGTTTTAGTCTCCAGTGCAGTGTCTTTTTTGCATATCGTATTCAAGAAAATTGAGTGTCAGAAGGGTTAATTGCGTGACTGTGTTGGCAGTTGTCCTCATTGTTCTGGTTAGCGAAGTGAGTCCATGTCTTGACATCTCTGTAGGTTGATGTCATTGCCACCTGCTACCATTTCAAGGGCATGGTTGCTGTTGAATATTCTCATCAGGTTGCTTTAAATCATCTGACACTGGGTTCTAGAGAACAGGTTTTACTTCCCTGTATCTGGTGATGCTGGGCAGCAGTAACTGTAATGGCAGTAGTGTTATTATTACATATTTTATTGCTCAGCACTTGGAGATATTGCTTTTTATTCCATATCTCCCAGTAATGTTCTGCATATAGCTCTAGTTGGTACAGTTTATTTCCATTTATATGAAAAAAAATGGAAGAAAATAGTGCCCTTGTTTCAGATGATTTGCATATGAAAGAGCCAAAAATAAAGATCCTTTGTAAAGAACAGAAGAGTTCCTATATGTGACCTGTATATATTTTGTAACAGGATACATAGTTTTTACTTTTAAAGGCGTGACGTTGCAGGTTTCCTCTAGTTTGCCTAATATGCCATATTCACATCTTTTATTAACTAAAATGTTGTATGATTTGTATTAAAAAGAAACGTGCTCGTGAAGTGATGAAGTGGAGGGAGTCGGTGAGACAAGCTGAAAAACAGGAAGCTGAAAGGGAAGCAGTTGCATGTAAAATTGAAGAACATTTGAAGGTATTATAGAATTACATGGTTTGTCCAAAAAGAAACTGAACTTTCTTTTCAAAATATTGATTGATAAGCTTACAACTTAATAAGACTTTTCTCCTTCAAAGTACTCCCCTTCGCTGTCTATACACCGCTTCCAACGTTTTTTCCAGTTCTGGAACATGTCCTGGAACTCGTTTTGCGGGATAGCACGTAGGTTCCATACCAGATTTTCTTCTAGCACTTCTATCATCTGAAATCGGCGACCTTTCAGAGTGGATTTCAACTTTGGGAACAAAAGAAAAGTCTGCAAGGGTCAGATTTGGAGAGTAGGGCGGTTGGGGGTTGACAGTCATCTAGTGCTTCGCCAAAAATTCACGGATGCGGAGCGACGTGTGAGCAGGTGCATCATCGTGGTGCAGCATCTAGGTCTTGTTTGTCCACCCCTCAGGCCTCCCCCAAACGCTTCATGACCTCCAAGTAAAACTGTCCATTGACTGTCTGACCATGTGGAATAAACTCATGATGAACGGTGCTCTTCCCATTAAAAAAAACTGATCAACAACACCTTCACATTTGATAGACTTTGACATGCTTTTTTGGTCGCGGCGTCGATTTTCCACCCACTGCGATGATTGAGCTTTTGTTTCAATATTGTACCCATACACCCACGTTTTAACACCTGTTATGATATTTTTCAGAAAGTTTTCATCAACATTTGAATGATCAAACAACTCCTAATTGACCTTTACACGGTTTGCTTTTTGCTCCCCTGTCAAAAGATGTTCCACAGATTTTGCAGCAACACGATGCATCTCCAGCTTTTGGTCAAAATTATGTGGTGTGAACTTTTACTGATGCCTACTTCTTCACAAACTTCACGGACAGTTAGGTGGCAATTTTCACAAATCACAGCACGTGCTTTCTCAACATGATCTTTGTCTGTTGTATGGAAGGCTGTCCAGGTTTTAGATTGTCTTTGGTGAACATTCTGCCTGGTATGAAACGTTGGTACAATTCGTAACATTGTGTACGGCTTAAACAAGCCACCATAAGCTTGCTTCAACATCTAAAATGTTTCTGTAATAGTTTTTGCCAATTTGAAACAGAATTTCATGCAAATGCGTTGCTCTTCACTGTCCTTCATGTTTCAACTTGCAGAAATCGCAAAAGGCACAATACACAGGTTCACTCTCCCACATGTACTCGATGACTGATTGACATGGCGTGATTGAGCAGGTGTCAGGTTAAAGCTTAAGGTCATCACTACACAGCACCACTGTCACTAGGCTTGTTGGTGCCCTGTTTAACAAGTTTGGTTTCTTTTTGGACAGACCACGTATAGTGTATGAAATTCTTCATTGGTGGGAAAATGTGATGTGTTATGTACTGAAATGAATACTGAATGATTTTCAGATATTATGTTATTTTATCAATCTCTGTCCTGCTCCACATGCTTACATCTTTGATCAGTTCTATGAAATTAAAGTTTTTGACATTGTGGGACTATAATAAATTGACCATATTATATCCTGTCCCCCATCAACATTCTCAACATGTGGGGTAGCTTTATTGTTGACTCGTTTAAATGTTGGAGTGAAAATTTATCTTGGAGCCCCAAAGGAGTAAAGTTTTCTGTAGAAGCATAGTGCTTGAAATGCTGAATGTAAGTTAAATCATAAATGACCAAAAGTGAGAAATTGTCTTTGAGACCACTTTATAGTAGATTTTTCCCTTGGCACTACAGCCCAGTGGGCCTAGGCCTACTTGTACCTCCATGAACTCCGTTCACTTCGGTTTTTCTAGATCTTATACATATGGTAGGACTCCTTGGGTGAGTGATCAGCTCGTCGCAAGGTTATAGTAGATTAGCACTTCCAATTTTCCTGGGGAGTAAAGCGTGGCCAGCGCATAAGGCTGACAACCTTACCACCATCTTTGAGCCAATTGTATAGATAATGTGGGACCTTCAACATCTCACAACCCTATGGGCCTTCATGGCCTGTTACAGGGATAGACTTACTTTTTTACTTTTGATAAAAATTAGTTCCCAGGATAAGATTTGAATGATGTGTATAAAACAAAGGAAACAAACTCCATGGCCTGTAGTCTGCAAGCGAACTATACCGACTGAGCGATCGCCACTTGTCAGCGAAGTTAGTGCCAACTTTAGCAGATAGAGGTAGTCGCATGGTCAGCGCAACGGATCCCCATTGTTGTTAATCTTGGTTTTCTAAACCGGATGAATGACGTGTATAATAAAACGAATTTTGCTTGCTAGTTTTATTTATACCAGTTGGAAATTAACAACATAACTGTCCCAGAATCAATGAAAGTTATGAATTTATATAGAAATTTTGCATTTTAAACAGGATGAATTAGGATCCCTCTCTTTTATGTTAACAAAGTGCTAGCAGACTCACAGATTATTTTCTAAGTGCATGGAGATCAAAAAGTTGCACACATCAAACTAAAAGTTGTTATAAATTGTATTACAGTTAATATAATTATATCTCCTACTGCTAGATGGTACTGTAGGAGTACTAACGAGTAGAAACGCTATCTGTCGTGTATCGGTCATATAACATCTGCAGTATAGCTTTGTTTATTGCGTGACACACGTGTCGTTTTCCCAAGAACGAGTTTTCATTGTGGAACATTATTTTGTCCATCGTTCATATGCACGCATTGCAGACGAGTTTCACCGGGAATATTCAGATTCTGCAGTTCCTGACAATTTGACCATAACGAGAATAATCAACCGATTTCGGGAATGTGGATCAGTTTCACATAGGAAGAAATCCAGGAGACCGGCCATGTTGACTGAGGCTAAACTGGCTGATGTGGAGAAAATGTTGCAGCGTTCCCCTTCAAGAAGCCTGAGGAGACTATCAACACAATCAAGGATTTCTTACGGAAGTGTTCAGAAAGCGATGAAGAAATTACACTTTCATGCATATTGTGTTCTCTGTGTGCAGAAACTGAAGGACCTGGATAAAGAAAAATGCTTAGTGTATTGTAGATGGTTTTTGACATTTTCCTTTTTTCTTTGGCGGTACTGCAAAGGAATTGTCTAGAAAGACAATCCACATACACTGGATGACCTCAAGAGGAACATTACGATGGCGATTAACAACATCAGTTTACAGGTGCTCCACAAAGTGGCCTCAAACATGGTAAATAGAGCTCGCGCATGCATTGCTGAACAGGGAAGCCATTTCAAGCATATGTTGTAAAGACGATTTTATTTTGCATTTCTAAGATGTAAGGTTATAAACATTAATAGTAAGTGCTGTCTGTCTTGTAGTTTGTGCATTAAGCCAGCAAACTACTGTTGCTTAGTGTGATGTGTGCGACATCTCGATCTCCCTGTATTAACTCCCCTGATTTTATAGTAGTAACTTCAAGATAGAGCATGGAATATTGATAATAGAAGAATTATTTAAATCTGTGTGATATAAACCTTTCTCATGAATTGTATTTTTCCATTGTTTTCCGTTGACAGCTTTAATATTATTTAAAGCCTATGCAATTGAGAAGATATTAAGAGTAAGACAGTTTTGTTTTATATGTAGATTTTGTAAACATCGTGTTCAGTCCTTCAGTAGGCTGTTATCTTGTTATGAATAGCTAAATGTCTGCTGCTTCTGTAAGGTTCAGTGAAACTCAGTGTTGTACCATAGAGTTTTTAAAATTTATTTTCCTCCTTAAGAGATACATGTGAAACTTTGTATATCTGATTTGCTTCTTATTCCTTTTTGTAAAAGTTTCATACAAAATATTTATGTCTTAATATTGTGTTTATATTTTAAAGATTCCTTTCTTTAGCATCCTCAGTAAAAAGTTGCAAAAAATATGTTTCATTGCTTTGCCATGTCAATCTTTCTGTATGTAACAATTTGGGAACCACTTAATGGATAGAGATACTGGGTTTTCGGACTTTGTCCATCATCCAGATTCTAAATAATTACGAAAAAATAAAACGTTTCTTTCTAAGGGACCCAACAGAGTAGGTGTCTTCCCTCACCTGAGGACAGAAACAGATTCAGTTTCCAAAAATTTGTTTTTTCATAGTTATTTAGAATCTGGACGATGGACAAAGTCCGAAAACCCAGTATCTCTGAGTGTTATACACCACCGTCAGAACCCTATAGTATCCACTAAATGGATATTTATGAACACATTCCATTTCTTGTTTAAACTGGATAACAGCAGTAGACACTTTACATATATAAGAACATGGGTTTCTGAGTGTATTTCAAGTGCAACTCGCTAAATATTTATTAGAACAAAAAATATTTACAATAAAAGTTGTAGAGAAAAATAGAGGTAAATTTTGTGCGCAGTGTAAATTTTCCACGTCTTATTGCAGTTTTCAGGATGATTAAACAGAAGCGAATGGAACAGATTTTGTATGCTTTGCATACATGTCCTAACCTTGTTTTATGTTCAGAATTCTATAGTGTTAATTATGATACTGGTATTTTCTTTCTATTTTTTTTGGGGGGGGGGGGTTAGATATACAAAACTCAGTTGGAAATGAGAAGAAAATCAGGAAGGTACAAATTACGGCCAACTGGACCTCGGCAAAAGGAAATCAAAGATCTTGATGAAGGACCAAGAGTCAGTGTTGTTGTAAAAGGTAACTCAGTAAATTATGAAATATCTCTAATAAAAAAATTGTGCTGTATATTTATTTTTTCCATATGTGGAAGGCAGCAGAAAGTATGTTAAATCCACAGTCACAAATAACAGAGTAGACCTCCAGCTTAGAGGTTTCAACTTGCGACACACAGTATAACTTTGTAAATTGTAGTTTGTTCCAAACCTAACATATAAACCTCAAAACTGGGGTGATTCTTTCATACGATCCAGTACTGGAAAGAGGATGTGAAATTTGGTACTTGAAGTGTGAAAGTTTGTAAGAAGCATCTATACCAATACACAGATCATTGCCTTCAAGCACGCACATCACATTATGTCAGTCCTTGCCTTCAAAGACACATTGTGTTACATCCATCAATCTTTAAGGGTTCACATTGTACAATGTCAGCACATCAGTCCTGGCATTCAGAGATAGACATTGCTCTCCGTCAATCAACTTCAGCCACTCACCAAATGTACAACACCAGAAAGATTTGAAACTAACCAAAAACAGCTAATGTATAGCTTGAATTTAATAATTTAACTTGGATTTAATGCTTTTTCAAAGAATAATTTAGACATTGTTGATTTATATGTATATATATTAAAGGATTAAAACTTTGGCCCAAAGCTGACACTGCAATAAGAATTTTACCTGAGAAAGACCAACCTTATATGAAACAATTAGGAGCTAACAATTTACAAAAATTAATCAAGAAGCAACATCAAAAAAGAAACACAGTACCTTCAAGAAGAACAAGTAGAATGGCACACATTAAAAAATATCAAACAGAAATTAATCAATAATCACTCAATGACAGCAAAAGCCAACAAAGATAACCCGCTAATTATTTTAAAAAAGACGCCTACATAAATAAACTAGATAACTTCATTAACAATAATAACTTTACTGAGTTAGCACACGACATTACAAAGAAGTTACGACAAATCAAAATATATAAATATGAATCCCAGCACACCACACATATACAGTACTATCAAATTACACATGCAGCGAAGACCCATACGCCGTATAGTCAACTGGATAAACTGCCTGCTTATAAATTAGCTAAACATTTAAACACAGTATTGGCAAATACTTTACACCTACCTAATGCTTTTAACACTTTGTGGACCGGCAATTTAAATGTTTAAATCACCCTGGGGACTGGCATTTTTAAACCTACTACCCTGACTTGTGCACTGTTCACTTTAAAAATTAATATAAAATCTCCTAATTAATTTTATGAACTAAAATTTTGGAGAACACTTCCCAATGCTTCTAGAAGTGCTTGAGAATGTGATATTTCTGGAAACATTCCCCTTTGTGAAGTGGCATTGCACAGAACTTGTAATGTAGACAGTCATACTCCTTTTTTTGTGAACTGTGCAAACACAGCACTGCCTAGAAGGATGCTTCCCTTGGAATGTTTACTCTTCACAGTTTTCACGAAGGTATGTTTCCGCATATCACCTGAGAGTCCCCCAGGGGTGTCCACATGAGGATTGCGTGGGGTGGGAGTTGTTGGGCCCGGTCACACTAAGTCTGTGCCTGACTCTGGTTCTGCCGCCACCTTCTGGTCTGTAGCCCAGGCCTTTGCCACATTCATCAGAAATGCTTTGTATTTCAATTTTGAATCAGGGTTTAGATTTTTATAAATCAAAAATGAATTGAAAATGGCACAATTTATAAGTCACAAGGCAACTTTCTTTGTCCACTCTATTATTTTCCTGGGAAGAGAATAATAGGCCAAGTATTGATCGGCTCTGTAGACTCCCTTCATGAACATACTGTAACGTGTTTCGTTACAATATTATACTCAGAAATACAGATAGGCTTCTTTACTTGTCCGCTGGAATATAACAATACGATTGCAACAACTGACTTCATAATATGGAATATTACTTGAACATAATATGAAATATTACTTGAATAGTTTTTAATCTTATTTTAATTTCTATAACTTTCATTTTTATAATAATTTTATTGTATTTTTATACTTTGTTTTATTATAGTGTAACATATTTATCAAATATCCAGCATTATTGTACCATCATATTGAAATGCAACTGAATATTTTGCTAGTGTAATAATTATGTATATGCCTGATTATGGCTTTAAAAGCCAAAACATGTAGCTAAGGTAATATTGACCTCAGCCATTTCGTAGTTGTGTTGCAATGGAATGTAATAAAGATTTTTGGTTCTATTAAACATCACTTTCTTAGCTCATAAAGAAAATTTACTCAGATCCAAAAGCAAAACCAAGCACCTTTTGATATTATAATACTAAAATAAGTGAGCTGCTGTCTAATTTGTTCAGCATGTTACAAGTGTGCATGTTGAAGTTGTCATGTGACAAAATGTTATGCCTAGAATTGAAGACATTCCCTAGCTGAATTTTTGATTCAGAGAAGTAGAGAATACTCAGAACTTGCAAATTGAGCACTGCATTTTCTGATGTCATTTGCTAGAGCATTCCTGTACGAGACTAGCTTTTTGTGACATGTCACCTTCAAATCCAATTACAGAACCAGGATAAATGCTGAACCTGACCTAAGAATCATGCTGACAAATGTCACACCTAACATCAAAGGACTCAGTTTAACACAACAGGCACATTTGTTGCATTAAAAACTCATACTTAATCTTAATTGTATTTTTATTCATTTTTATTTTATTTTAGTGTATTAAAATCTTAATTTTATGTAACTTTTTAAAATGCTATATCTGTAGCACAGCATGTCACAATTTCTAACCAGCAGACATGAAAATAATTAAATGGCCAGCCAAGACTCAGACTTTTTGCAAGTGTTGGGTGCGNAAGAAAATAAAAGAAAAGAGACAAGCGCAATCAGCGGTGGTGTTGGGGTGGTGGGGGGGGGGGGGGGGGGGGGCAGAAGTTTAGTAACCACTGAAGTATGGTAATAGATCCTCCAAGAATGTATAGTTTGAGTGACAGTAATTTTTTATAAAATGTAAATAAAAAAAATATCACCTACATGATACTTGTATTTAGCTCTCAGTGTGATGGTGGCAGCTAATGAATCATTGTAATTAGACGGCGAAATTTTTTATGGAAATAGATCATAAAGACTACTACAAGTTATATATGAAATATTATGCATAAGTCAGCAGTTACAAACATGGCAGTGGTTATTTCCTGCAAAACTAACATAGTAGATAAAGTCTGTATGTAAGTAACAGGCTCTTTCTGTGATGATGATGATGATAATGATGGTGGCTATGACACTGTATGAAATAATCTGAAATGCACAATTGCCAGCACTTAAAAACTCTGACTGGAATAGGATTTAATTGTATAACAATATTTGCTTGAGTCCATTACACTAACTTGAGGTATAAATTACATGGCACTCTTGGTTTATAAACTCATTTTACCAAATATGACATCAGCAACTCAGGATTTGTACAATTAGAAGTTTATGTAGTAGATAAGTAGGCTTTATTATGATTTCAGTCTGAACTCCTTAATATAGTAGCCATTCTATGCTTTGTATACAACTCACATTGGAACCTGTCTACAATATAAAGTACCAGAAGTCTGAAGAAAGCAGTCTTCTGGGATGTGGCACCGCGTAGATGTGGTGTTAACTGTACCGGTTCTCATGGTCTCTTTGCTTGCGGATTATTTATTTTTCCTTCTACCCTGAAGATGGAGGCGATATGTTCCCCTGAAATGTCAGTTAACACCACATCTACGCGGTGCCACATCCCAGAAGACTGCTTTCTTCATAGTCACTGCCATGAAAACCTCAAATCTTACATACCAAAAGTCTGTCCACCAGTAAAATGTGAGATAGGGATTATATTGTATTATTCTGTTATGCTTTAAAACATTAAGTTTTTGCATCCAGTCTCTTCATTCATCCTAATTTAGAAGAAAATCAGTCATCAAAATTAACACCCACAGTACAGCAAAATTTTATATTTCTGCAAATGAGAAAGGTTTCTATTTTCAGGGGATGTTGATGGATCTGTAGAAGCCATTCTGGATATCTTAGAAACATACGATGGTAACGCAGCTTGCAAGCTAGACCTAGTACATTATGGGGTTGGTAATGTTTCAGAGACAGATGTGGAATTAGCTGATACATTTAATGGTAAGTATAAGATTTTGTTTCTTGTGGAAATACAATTCTCACACAATTTGGTATACAGTATTGTAATTTTTAGGATCAGTAAGCAGTCTTTTTTGTTCAGGTGATAAATTTCAACGTATGTAGTAAATTAGTGTGTTAACATTTTGTACCCGAGACACTCGAAATGAAGAACGTGCTGGAACACTGTCATGATGAAGACTCAGTGAGTTATCTCTCCACAACACTCTTTGCTTGCACCTTACAACATCAATAAGCCTTTTCAGCACCTCTATGTAGAATGTATGATTAAGAGTGTAGTCCCTTTGGGTAGAGATTCAAACTGGATGATACTCCTGATGCCAAAAAAGCAGATCTACATTTAATCGTGGACTTTGACGTCCATGGCTTCCTTGCTGTGGGGAATTCTTTGATCTCCACTCCATGGACTGGCATTTGGCCTCAGGATCATACTGATAACACCATGTTTCATCACTAGTGATGACATGATCCAAAAAATTATCTTCTTGAAGTTGTTCCACAAAGTCCATGCGCAAAGTGAGCCATCTGTCCTTTTGTTCCTCCATCAAGTTTTGTGGCATGAGCTTCACTGCCAACTTTCTCATGGCAATATCCTGTACTAAAATTTCCCTGTCTCTTTGCTCATATCAAGCCCATCAGCTACCATTCTGCAAGTTAAGTGGCAGTCAGATCACACAAGTTCCCTGGTTTTGCAGAATTTTTTTCATTTGCTTTGTTATGGGAATACCTTGCCTTTCATCGTACACATGATCTCTGCCTTCTCTAAAATTTAAAAACATTACTTTTGCTCATAGTATATTCACCATAAACATCTCAAACATTTCCCTTGGTGATATCTGTAGTTTAACAAAAATTTCATATTCACACTCTATTTCATCTTATGCTCCATTTTCACATCTGGACAAACTTGATGACACACAGCAATCTAACAAATTTCTGTTCAACAAATACTGAACCAAGCTTATCCCTACATTCCATGTGTCTTCTGTCTTCTGTCTTGCTGTGTCACCTACCAAATTAAGTAAGAGCATTGCCAGATTGTCTGGCATGAAATTAAAACTGAGTCTCAAAACTTACTTGCCCAACCTTGTAAAATGGTTGGGAAAGACCCAGCATACATGTAAGGTTTTTGCATGCAGATGAGCATCATCCTGGAAGGGCCATAGAAACTGGAATACAACATACTATCACAAATTTGACATGGGGCTCTGTCTCGGAATGTTTCAGAACTTGCCAGAGTAAGGTGAATTATTTGGCCTATTTTTTAATGAACAAGAGTGCAAAGTTTTCTTTACACACTCAGAGCATGAAACAGTTGTTATATGTATATGTCATATGTTATATATCATAAGAGTGAACTGTAGAATTGCGGGAGGCATGTCACAATGTATGGCATTGTTATTCCTTCTGCAGATAGCTGTATGTTATTTGTTTTCTTGGATACTTGTATGAATTGTGTGATATACAAGTGTATGTATAAATGTCATGTTTATATGTTCAAGAATGATAGAGATATGATTTTTTTTTACCAATAAAACCCTTCAGTACTAAGTACTGATTATTAATGTGGGCTAACTTCCAGTCATTACAAGCAGCCAGGCCTCTGCTAGGTAAATTGTGCACCCTTGACTGGAACAGCTGAGCTTCCACCCCTGGTGTCAGCTGGATTCACAGCCAATATCCAGTCAAGTGCTCAGTTTCTTATAGAAGAGCCACCCCACTTCCTGACAATCTTCTTCTGCTGGTCACGTATTTCTTCTTCTTTATGGAGGGACAACTCACCACCTTCAAGAGACTCTTTCCATGTACCTCTCAGCAGTAGAGGGACCTAGGACTGAGTTCTCTGATAAAGGAAGAAATCTCTCTTTTCTTGGATTCCTGACATTGAATTTCTGCAGCCACTTAATGTCATTCACTGACAGGAAGAGCTGAGCCCCTACCACTGCTGCCATCTGGGCTCATAACCAAGCTCCAGCCAAGTCCTGAGCTCCTTAGAGATGAACATTCCCCTGCTGGCCTGTTTCTTTGCTAGGGTGTCCAATTCTTGGTACTCTGGTTATTTACCTGTCAAGAGACCTTGTACAGTCTTGCCTTCACTGGACTGTTAGGTGCTCTGCCTAAGAAGTTCAACTTCAGCCAGGGCAGCAAAAGAGCTCATTTCCTAGTCTTTCCAGTACTTCTTGATGGTGAGATTACTTACTCCCATTAAGAGAGTTGTGTGCCTCTCACCCTTGATGAATCCCTAATCATAGCGCCATGAGCATTCCCCACGACAGCAGGAGATCCAGCATGTTTCCTCTGATGCAGGGGGTAGAAATCCAGAGCCCTCTTTAGAGGGTTCCTGAATTCAAATCGTCAAACCGTGGAGCCAAACAGTAAATAACAAGCGCCAAACCTCCCCATTGATGTGAATTGTTAAAGACTTGTTTTCTTTGACTCTTGACAGCAGGATGTGTACATGAACCATGTCAATTGCCAGAGTCCCACCACTGGCCCCAGCTGGACCTATAACTGGGTTCTGAGAGTTCATTTTCCTTTAGAAAAACATTCCTTTGCCAGGCTGCTTTTTTGCTAACCTACCCCATTCCTCTACTTAATGTTCATGTTACTCACCCACATCAAGAGTCTTCTTTCAGTCTCACCCTCACATGACCCCTCACCAGCGCCGTTTCCAGAGCACTTACAGTGGGGACCCTCCTGCCCTCACTATATGCTCCAGAGATAGCTGAGCCTCCACCACTGGTCCCAACTGTACCCACAACCAAGAGTTTAGACCCTTGAGCCCCCCCACCCTCCACTTTCTCTAATAGGCCTTCTTGATCAGCATACTCCCATGAAGGGACCTCTTTCAGTCTGCCCTTCAATGTATAACTCACCAGAGCATGTTGGAGTTTAGGCTTGTCCCACAGTGGCAGAAGATGCAGCCACTGAGCCCTCTGATGCAAGAAGACCTATTTGTAGCACCCAAGCTCCAAAGAAGACCTCAATTTCTTAAGAGCATTTCTCTTCTTGGATTATTCTTCTGCCAGCTAAATCCTAGTTCCCTCTTCAATGGTCAGGTTGATTACCCTCATCAAGAGACAGTCTCATCCTAAGTGGACCCCTCATTAAAACACCTGACAGATTTTGGCTGCTGTAGGGGGAATTTGACACCTCCCCACAGAGCTCTGCATGTTGGGGGAAGGCTAACTTAGTGGAATGTCCCTTTATATGCCAAGACACCATTCACCATACTGCCCTATCAGTGATATGCAAGCCTCAGCATGGTAAGTCACACCATACCTTTGGGCACCACCTCTGTAGTCAGCCAGGCCAGCCTGATGCAACCAGGGAATACCACAGTGGGGTAGGTGGGCTGATTTGGTCCTGAAACCCTCTGGTTCATGGTAACTGGGATGTTTAAATGCCACTGAACTCAGAGTGTTAACATTATTCTTAAAATGTAAGTACTTTCTTCTGTGTGTCTAAGGAATTATTCATGGCTATAGTTGAAAAACTCTGTATTTTAGTCTTTCCATGTTTTAATAATTATTGTTTTTTCTTTCAGCAATTATTTATTGCTTCAATGTGGAAGTTCCAGATGAAGTCGAAGAGCTGGCAAAGTCAAATAAAGTATCAATTCATTCACACAATGTCATATATAAATTAGTAGATGATCTCAAGAAAGAAATCAGCTCTCAGTTACCTCTCAAGAATGTAGAGGAAGTACTAGGTGAGAAAGAACGTATGGTGAACCATGTTGCAGTTTGATTACAACATTGTTTTCCTTCCAGCTTTACTACTGTGAATGTGTATGTTTTTTCATGTGCACTTTCTTGGAATACTGCTAAATGCTGATACAGCATGCACCAAACTATAGTGACACACAACACTTGCAGCTAAGAAGGGAACACACATCACAAGACACGGTTTACACAGAAACTAAGAAAAACGACCCCATATTGAATGAACCACACGCAAGTTTTAATTAAGACAGATAAGATAAATAATCTTAACAAGTTTTAGTGAGTGTAAATTTATTATAGTTGACAAATACGCACTTTTTAAATACTTTTTAAATGGTGTTGTGAAGACATATGAGGGCAAGCAATGCAATAGATTAACATAATTAGGGCACCTGATGATGGCAGCCAAAACATGTCGTGAAGTAACAGGTGAAATTGTGGCCTCCGTAGTCTAGAGGTAACGTTCCCACCTCATGACTCGTGGTACGCGGGTTCAAACCTGGCGGAGGTCATGGAATTTTTAAGGGCAGAAAAATTCAGGGGACAAGTCCTCCGGGAGGACTTTAAGCCGTGGGTCTAACACCTCTGATAGATGGGGGAAGCATTATAGATACCGCTAAGCCGGTAGAGGCCGAACTCGCTGGCTCGGTCGGGACTGATGGTACGCACCAATATCGGTAGGGTATAGAGACTGGTAGAATATCATAGAGGGAAGCACAATGGACCAGTACTGGTCTAAGTGCATGGGGAAACCCACACTCTCCAATAACTAACTAGCAGGTGAAATTGAGTGCACTACAAGATGGCCACTGTGTACATATCACTAGTAAGTCATTAGTACTCCATCAGTTTAATACCATATAGAACTATAGTAGTAGCAGTCATTCATACATCTCTTTTTGCTGTTACACCTGTGATAATGTCAAATTTCTCACACTTTTTTAAGTACACATTTCTTATTTATGTTCTTGTTGCTGGTACAGCTGCTCCAACTTCTGTCTATTTGATTTTGGATATGGGTGACTGGAAGGAAGTATGTGTGACTAATTCATTATAGGACTTAATGTGGCTTCCTCTTATTTTCCTAGGTCAGTAGCTAACAACCTAGTCACATTTAACACCACTGTGATTTTCTCTGCCCTTTTATCATCTGAACTCATGTGCCCTGATACAGCATAGAGCCAGTTTACTGGATTAGCCCTTGCCCTTATACATGAATGGTTAAAATTATCTTCCAGAATTGTCTTACTACACATCTCATGAACAGCTGCCTCCTTAATATGCGGTTTAGATATTCACCTCTCAGAGTTCATAGAGCAGAAAAAAGAAATCACAAATGAAGTACACAAATTTGCAGTCATTCAAATACGTTGTGCGTTCAAGTTCTGAGGTCTCCGATTTTTTTTTCTCACACAATCATACAAAAAATTTGAAACTTGTGTCACTTTTCAACGTAATCTCCCTGCAGCTGTACACATTTTTCACAACTACGACACCATGATTCCACGGCCGCTGCGAACATTTCTGTAGGAGTGTGTTTTGACCACTGGAAAATCGCTGATGCAGTAGCGGTACGACTGGTGAATGTGTGACCATGGAGAGTGTCTTTCATCTTTGGGAAAAGCCAAAAATCACTAGGAGCCAGGTCAGGTGAGTAGGGAACATGAGAAACCACTTCAAGTTTGTTTTCACGAAGAAACTGCTGCGTCACGTACGCCTGATGCGCTGGTGTATTGTCCTGGTGAAAGAGTACACGTGCAGCCTTTTCCAGCCGTTTTTCTTGCAGTGCTGGGAGGAGCTTGTTCTTCAAAACATCTTGGTAGGATGCCCTTTGGAATGCAGTGAGTAAGGATTATGCCATCGTTATCTCAAAATATGACCACCATAATTTTTTCAGCACTGGCGCTTACCCAACATTTTTTTGGTGGTGGTGAGTCTATGTGCTTCCATTGAGCTGACTGGCACTTCGTTTCAGGATTGAAAAATGGCATCCATGTCTCATCCATTGTCACAATTGATGAAAAGAAAGTCCCATTCATGCCTTCATCACATGTGAACATTGCCTGGCAAAGTGCCATGTACGCAGCCTTGTGGTCGTCCACCAGCATTCGTGGCACCCACGTGGAGGACACTTTCCGCATTCGCAGGTCTTTATGCAGGATTGTGTGCACAGATCCCACGGAAATGCCAACTTTGGAGGCGATGTTTTCCACACTCAATCGGTGATCCTCCAAAATAACTTTCTCAACTTGCTTGACCATGTTGTCAGACTGGCCGGTGCGAGGCCGAGATTGTTTTGGTTCGTTGTCACACGACGTTCAGCCTTCTTTGAACTGTCGCACCCACGAACGCACATTTTTTCACATTCATGACACCATCACCACATGTCTCACTCAACTGGCGATGAATTTCAATGGGTGTTGCACCACGCAAGTGGAGAAAACGAATGATTACTCGCTGTTCTTGTAACGAAAACGTCGCCATTTTAGGTATCAAAAACACTCCTCACTCTCACCGCCACCACTAGAGTTCTGTGTGCCATACAATGCTACCAGCTCTGTCACGCATTCACAGAAAGTGCACACGTATTTTAAACTAAACCACGTGTGTTTATCTGCTCCCGGTCCTGAGAAAAATAATCGGAGACCTTAGAACTGGAACGCCCCTCGTAGTCAGAGTTTCTCTCCATGTAACTTATTTTAGTCATGTAACAAAGCTGAGCCTAGTGCTTGACTTTCTGGTTGCACATCTCTGTAATTCAAGTTCAGGCATGGAATGGAATTACCTTGTAAACAGCAAATTTTTGTGGAAATGTATGAGATGGAGATCACACATTTTATATGTTCTTCGGCTACTGGAGCCCTGTCCCCAAAGTAACCATATAAAAGGAAATAAATTGTATCTTGCTTTTGTCACACTTTATAGCTTATTCCCTTCTTTGGTCTGAGATCACACCTAGCATTGTCGTCTGCAGTAGTGCATGTGTCAGCTGTAGTACTGTCTTTCCTGTCAGTTGTTCCTGGTGTATGTCTGGCATCATGTACTGTTTTAAAAGCACTGGCATCTCTCATGTCAGACTTAGTCCCCTCTGAGGGTATCTTTGGTTTGAGGTGTATATCTCCAGAACAATCAAACCAAACGTCATCTTCTGTATCACTTTCACTGTAATTGTACTAATCTCTTTTTGTCTGAACACTTGTCTTTCTGTCCATGTCATGCTTCCTTCTTCCATGCCATTGTTGAATCTGCTGCTGATCTACTGTATATAGCTATTACTGCTGTACATTAGGTTGATTGGTTTCTCTGGATTTTTGTAGTTGGTGAACCTAGTCTGACAGCTTTATTTATTATCTAATAACACCCATCTGATTTTTGACTAAATTTATTTTCACTGGAATCAAAGACCCTAGAGTCTTGAGTCTGAGTCTCATTTATGACTGAAGGTCAGTCAGTCAGTCTGTCTTAGCATAAAGCACCCGTCTGGGGCTTGCGAATAGATCTTTACATAGTGTGTTCAAAAAGTATCGAACCTTTGGTCGGCAGAAATACATTCATTAATTTGGAGGTACAAAACCCTAATCCCCTTCAAAGTAGTCTCCTTGGTAATGCACACACCTCTCCCAGCGCTTCCACCATTGTTGGAAACACTTCTGGAACACATCTTTTGGAATGGTAATCAGCCGGGCCGTCACATTCCGCATGATATCTTCTTTTGACTCAAATCGGGTTCCTTTCAGCGGCATTTTCAGCTTGGAAAATAGCCAAAAGTCACACAGAGCCATGTCGGGGGAGTAGGGAGCCTGACGAACCACAGGGATGTTGTGTTTGGCGACGAAAGTCTGAATCAGATGCGCAGTTTCGGTACGAATTTCACGGACACTCTCCTCATGCCCAAATCCTTGGTCAAAATTGAATGTACCGATCCAATGCTTACCCCTAACTCGTTCGCAAGTTCTCGGACTGTGATACGACGGTCCTCCATGACCAAAGTCCGCACTTGCTCAATGACATTCTCATTTTGGCTTGTTGAGTGTCTGCTTGAACGCGGTTCGCTGTCCACTGATGTGCGGCCATCTTTGAAGTGGTTGTACCACTCCTTTATCCGTGAGTTGCTCATGGCATCGTCCCCGAAAGCCTGTTGAATCTTGCGAATGGTTTCCACTTGGGTATCGCCAAGGTTTTGGCAAAATTTGATGCAATATCGCTGCTCATGTTGTTCCGTCATTTTACACCTTACTGGAATCTGATGAACGCTCACTACACGTCCTCGCTCATAGGCCGACTGCCAGCGACTGACGCTTTCTGCGGGCATGAAAAAATTCACGACTGTACATGAATGTCCCCTCCACATCTCCACCGAAGAGAGCATCCCGCGCTTCATTGGTTTATGCGGGAAAAAAAAGGCTCGATACTTTTTGAACACACCACGTATTACTGGTTGATTGTTACGGTCTTGTTTTTTGGGGACGCCCTCTGACGAGAGGACGGGTCTGTCTTCTGTATATGCTGCTGGTCCTTGCCAGTGCAGTTTTCCTCGGGTCTGAGACCCTTGGTACTGGAGACCATATATTACTGTCTCAAATTTGAGACTTCCCTTTTCGTCACCTCCTACGACTCCCAGGGTCATGGAGGTATTTGAACCCGCCTCCACACAGGCCAGATCTCAAAAGACCCAGGAATGAGTTAGTCAGAAAACTTATGGACAGCCTGTAGGTAGTGCTTAAAGATATTTAACATGGAAAAGAATATCAGAGGAAGTATCATGATAAGAAAGCAACTGCAGTTGAGCTTAGATCTAGAGATTTGCTTTTTGTACATAAATTCTCCAAATCTCTCTCTGTAAAATATAGAGAATGGTCACAACTGATGTCTGAATCAGGGTTTTATGTGCTTATGATTCTGCCACTGTCAACCAGAAATTTCTAATACCTCCCCTCAAGTTTGAAGAGATGGGATAGCTCTGCCAGTTCCAGACTAGACTACAGGCCCAATGAGCAAGGAGTCAAGGCTCAAGAGATCTTTCTCGTCCACAAAGTGTTTAAACCAGCTGTGGTGCCAACCCAGCCTCCTGTCTAATATATACCAGTGGCTGTTTCTCAAGGGGGTAAAGTGGATAGGGCATGTAGGTGACCATTCACCTCTATCTAGGACCATTAAGAGTGCATAGAGCTGTACTTCCATTCCCCCATATGTCTTTATGGCATGATACTTAATTTAGAGACTTTATCTTTACCTTTTAACATTGAATATAATACAAATTTTATTGGTGTTCCTCCTTTAATAATGGTATTTGTCTTATGGAAGTCAATAGACCACTTCAGTTTTGGAAGTACATATATTCCATTTTCCTTTCTTACTATGCTGTCAAAGTTGCATGTAGTGTGCTCTTCATGCACTGGCAGCACTCAGTATCCCTTCCCATGCCACTTGGCATGACAATATGGAGGCCAGTTTCTCTGTTGCTAATAACTTCTGTGCTGCGCGTAGGTAAGTCAATAAGTAAGTTACAAATGGATATAGAACTTAAACAAATAAGAGTACTGATTTGAGAAATGCTTTTATTTCTCAACATAATCTCCCTGTACATTGAGGCAATTGTCCCATCATTTCACAAGCCCCTGAAAACCAGCAGCATAAAATTCTTTGGGCTGCTGTCGGAACCAGGCAGTGACTTCCCTTTCTACTGCTTCATCATTGGGAAAATGTTCAGCCGAAAGATGATGTTTAAGAGGGCCGAACAAATGGAAGTCGCATGACAGGTTAGGTTTTCATGAAGTCTGTGCACAGTGGGTGCTGCGCATGCTGACCCCACAACACAAAATGCAAAGAATGGTTCTGGAATTACAACATCTCAATCACTACCATGATGAAGGACACGATATGCTAGCCCAAATTGTCACAGGTGATGAGTCTTGCTCCAAGTGACTTCCATTTTTTCAGCCCTCTTAAACATCATCTTTCGGCTGAACATTTTCCCGATGATGAAGCTGTAGAAAGGGAAGTGTCCGCCTGGTTCCGACAGCAGCCCAAAGAATTTTATGCTGCTGGTTTTCAGGGGCTTGTGAAACGATGGGACAAGTGCCTCAATGTAGAGGGAGATTATGTTGAGAAATAAAACATTTTTCAAATCAGTACTCTTATTTGTTTAAGTTCTATATCCATTTGTAACTTACTTATTGACTTACGTGGTGTGTTCAAGAGGTATCAAACCTTCTTTTTTCCCACGTAAACCAATGAAGCACGGAAGGCTCCCTTCGGTGGAGATGTGGAGGGGACATTCATGCGCAGTTGTGAATTTTTTCCCGCCCTCAGAGAGCGTCTGTCACTGGCAGTCGGCCTATGAGTGAGGACGTGTAGTGAGCGCTCGTCGGATTCCAGTAAGGTGTAAAATGACGGAACAACATGAGCAGCGATATTGCATCAAATTTTGCCAAAACCTTGGCGATACCCAAGTGGAAACCATTCGCAAGATTCAACAGGCTTTCAGGGACAATGCCATGAGCAACTCACGGATAAAGGAGTGGTACAACCGCTTCAAAGATAGCCGCACATCAGTGGATAGCGAACTGCGTTCAGGCAGACCCTCAACAAGCTGACATGAGAATGTCATTGAGCAAGTGTGGACTTTGGTCATGGAGGACCGTCGTATCACAGTCCAAGAACTTGTGAACGAGATAGGGGTGAGCATTGGATTGGTACATTCAATTTTGACCGAGGATTTGGGCATGAGGAGAGTTTCCGCGAAATTCGTACCGAAACTGCTAACAATGGAGCAGAAGCAACGCCGTCTGGAAATCGCACAGGACATGCTGGACAATGCAAACAGTCACCCCAACTTTCTGAACACCGTGATCACAGGTGATGAGTCATGGGTTTATGGGTATGACCCAGAAACCAAGATGCGGTTGTCACAGTGGGAACATCCAGCATCCCCGAGGCCAAAAAAAGCACGGCAGGTCCGCAGCAATGTCAAGGTCATGTTGGCCGTTTTCTTCGACTCTTGTGGGGTTGTGCATCATGAGTACGCACCACAAGACCAAACCATCAAAGGAATACTACCAGGAGGTCCTTCGTCACCTTCGTGATGCTGTGCGGCGCAAACGACCGGATCTGTGGGCAGCAAAAACTTGGCAGCTCCATCATGATAATGCTTCTGCACATCTGATTCAGACTTTCGTCGCCAAACACAACATCCCTGTGGTTCGTCAGGCTCCCCACTCCCCCGACATGGCTCCATGTGACTTTTGGCTATTTCCCAAGCTGAAAATGCCGCTGAAAGGAACCCGATTTGAGTCAAGAGAAGACATCATGCGGAATGCCATGGCCCGGCTGATCACCATTCCAAAAGACGCGTTCCAGAAGTGTTTCCAACAATGGCGGAAGTGCTGGGAGAAGTGTGTGCATTACCAAGGAGACTACTTTGAAGGGAATTAGGGTTTTGTACCTCCAAATCAATGAATGTATTTCTGCTGACCAAAGGTTCGATACTTTTTGAATACACCACGTACCTACATATTTGCTTATCTGGGCATCTAAATATTTGTCAGCCAAATGTCCACTTCCCTGTTTAATTCCCTCAAGCCGGTTATTGTTTTGTTGTGCTGATTCAGCTGTTCCTCTGCAAAATGCTATACTGAAGCTCTTTTCATTGTTTTGTGTGACATAGCTGTAGTGTTTAATTCTTTCAGGATTAACAGTGTACTTTTCTTTTAGCTTTGTTTAACTGAGGTCCATTTTATGAACTCTGACCATGAACTGATCTTTTCATGTTGTTCCATATGCCTTATAAAATCTTAGATTGTCCCACCCTGCTTGTTCCCATTTCACTCTTTAATGGACACCGTACCCTCCTGACTCAGATTCTGAAACTGTTGTTGCAAGAGGTCTAAATAGTTGTCTGTCCCCAACTACCAAATTTATAATAAATTGCTAATAAAGTTTCCCCTCTCTGTGAGCTGTGCCTGACTTTCATCAGTCCTATATTCTGATCCTAATTACAGGCTTAAATTTAATCCTGATCATTGCATGCCCATCTGCTACCACACGTATAAACTTACCTTGCACTGAACATCCTTGTAGGACCTATCCTGTCACTATTTCACTACCTGCTAAGACATCCTAATATTATACTGCTAATTATAGTCTTATATTAAAGTTATCATCCCACACAGCCAATCAAATTATACACACAGTCCACAAATTTAAAATCACAAACCTCAAAATAGCAAATAAAATTGCATTTAAAAGAATCACAATCATATTCCCCAGTGATTGCTCTTGTATGTTATGCTGAGCTGTAAACATCCTACTGCTATAACATGAAATGTAATGTTTTTATAGTCAGTTTTTTGTAACACCACAACTTACTGTTACAATATTCCACCACTGATCACCACTTGGAATGGTGCAGCCCTTTGCATGTACCTTGAACCACAGGCTGTGGAACATTAAGCGTGTACAGAGCACTTCTCCTGCTATCAAGTATTTTCAGTGCTTCCACAATCAATTTATACTGGTGGAAAAATATAAGTAAATACTGTACTGTTCTGTGAGAGGTGACCTGCAGTAAAGCAATACCAGTAGATGCAGTATATGGGTTAGCAGTGAAGTTTGAATAAACATTATTTGCATATGTAACATTTGAGGCTTTCACGGCGGTGACTATGAAGAAAGCAGTCTTCTGGGATTTGGCACCGTGTATATGTGGTGTTAACCGACGTTTCAGAGACTGCTTTTACCGGTTCTCACGGTCTCTTCGCTTGCAGATTTCTTATATTTTTTCTTCTACCCTGAAGATGGAGGCGCTACGTTCCTCCGAAACGTCGGTTAACACCACATATACACGGTGCCAAATTACAGAAGACTGCTTTCTTCATTATTTGCATATGTTGTAATTATATGTGTAACTAGTCAGTGGTGAATTATTGCAAGAGCCCTCTTTCATCTCAATCATTAATGTTGTTTAGGCAGTCATGTAACTTAGTAAGCTGAACTTTCTATGGAAGTTTCCAACATAAAAGAGACTTGGTGAGCAGAATTGGATAACCAGTAAGCCTTAATTTTCTTGCACCATACTCATCTTCACCAGGAATGATGGAGGAAAACTGTAATTATGTGGCGTGGTGGCAGGATTGATAATAGATTATAGCAGTGGTCTGTATGTTCCTGTATCTGTGAACTGGAGTGTGAAGGGCTGTGCCATTACAAGTATATAGAGCACAGTGTATGTTTGGAATATCTCGTCACTTTTTTTAAAATATTATTCCATTATTGTTATTTAGGTGAAGCAAATGTCCTTCAAGATTTTGAAGTCACAGAAGGAAAGAAGAAAGTGCATGTTGCTGGTTGCAGATGTACAAAAGGAATTCTGAAGAAAACTGGAAAATACCGATTACACAGAGGACAGGAAGTTATTTATGATGGTTAGTACTCTCTTTACTCCAGCATAAACCCTCTGTAATATAACAAGGAGATCAGGCTGGGCATGACCTAGTAAATGTTAATATCTGTGGAAGGAATCTAGTTTGCATTCAGGAACAAATAATAATTATTGAGAATACTATCTTCTGAGCTGTGCTGTTTAGTCTGATAAAGTGTACTGACATTCCTCCCAGACAGAGAAACTACTGCATTACATATTAGAACATCCCAGAAGTCGCTGTCGTGAGAACTTCAAATTTCAAATATTTACATTTAATCCAGTTACTTCTTTCATCACCTTTCTAACAATGAATACTAATTTAATAATCTATAACTTGCTTACTTACTCATAGAGCAGAGCCCTTCTGGAGGAGCCACCAATTCTGCAGCTACTCAATAATTTCCCACCATTTTATGGAACCTGAAGGTTCATGACTGTGTTCACAAGAGTTCTCCACTGGTCCATATCCTGAGCCAGATCAATCCAATCCGTACCATCCCATCCTGTCTCTCTAAGATCCATTTTAATATTGTCCACCCACCTATGCCTTGGTCTTCCCAGTGGTCTCTTTCCTTCTGGCTTTCCCACCAATATCCTATACCCATTCCTAGTCTCCCCCATTCATGCTACATGTCCTGCCAATATCATCCTCCTTGACTTCATCATTCTAATTATACTTGGAGAAGAGTACAAGTTATGAAGCTCCTCATTATGCAGTTTTCTTCAACCTCCTGTCACTTCATCTCTCTTCGGTCCAAATATTTTCAACACCCTCAGTCTATGTTCCTCCCTTACAGAATCACAGGCAAAATTATAGTTTTCTAATTTTTATGTTTTTGGACAGCAGATGAGAAGACAAAAGGTTCTGGACTGAATGGTAGCAAGCATTAAGTAATCTATAAACTACAGTAGAACTTGGTTATAACATCATCAAAGGGACCTAAAAATAGTGTCGTTATAAACGAATGTCGATGTAACCGAAATGGGCACTTCCACAGTAGCCTTATGTTAGTCACACAAAAATCTACCAAAAACCGAGCTAAAATGTTGCATTTTTTAGTGAAATACATAGTTAAGTACAGACCAACGTAACATTAACGTGGAATTGCCCAAATGTGTAATATCAAAGACATATTACAGTGCTTTTCACTGACAATACACACCGCACTAATACTGTATATTAAAGGTAGGCCTACTCACCAAATTACAGTAGATTACATCAATTGTTGTGCCTTACTGTACCTAGATACGAGTACAGTAATCAGTTATCTTCATCTGTTTCCTGTTACTTGCCCAATACACACTTTCTAAATTACGTTCAATGTCCATAACTTTTGTCACAATTTCACTGCTGCCTCCCCTGGATTCATAAAACAAGTTCACAACCCTAATGGCTTCAAGCGCGTCACTCACAGTAGGGATGGAGACTTTGGAACATTCTTCTCCTCCCTCCTCATCTTCCTCCTCTGTATCCTTCTTCACTTCCGATACAATATCGTCGTCTGTTTGTGCCTCCATTGTAACAATGTCGTCTATTGTTGCATATGCCTCATAGTCCTACTGACCTAGTTTATCACAATTGACTTTACGCAACCATTCTGTTAAAGGTAAATCATCGTCATTATTGGTGTCATCCTCATTCTCAGTGCCATTCAATCCCTGAGTTGATAAGATCCCCGCATGCCGGAAGCTGTTCTGAATTGTTTTTGTAGTTACTCGTCTCCATGCTTTTTCAATGAATCGTATTGTGTCCAGCAGTGTAACTGTGTAATCTTGCTTCTTCTTGATGCTCTCTACAATTCTTAACAATATCAGTTTGCGGTAATGACATTTCAGGTTCCTTATGACTCCCTGATCCATGGGTTGCAACACGCTTGTAGTGTTTGCAGGTATAAACACAAGTTTAATCTTCTCTAGATTTTGAAGTACAGGGTGCGCTGGACAGTTGTCTACAAGCAAGATGATCTTTCTTTTCCTTCTTTGAAGTTCCTGGTCCCAAGAC